GCCTGAAGCAGTATCTGAAGAGCTGGAAAGCTGATTTGCTATTAGTTTCTTGTTTGCAGCCGTAGTTTTGCCATTGTCTGGCTCATTGGAAGAGAACCGCTGTGAGTAATATGTGAAGGCGTCCTGAACGTCACTGCCCGTTCTTGTACTTTTCCGCACTCTACAGCAGGACCCACCAAAGTTTAGAATACTGGTCTAAAGAAGTCCACTCAATTGCCCGGCTATTTCTGCTTAAGCTTCCAAGATTGGTGCAAACTTTATTTGGCTGACGTTTCAGAACAATCTTTTTCTCCGATGTGCAAATCGGAGCATATTTTCGAAGCATTCATCCAAGCACCATTTCCATTACAAGAACTAAGGGAAAATAAGTCATGAACGATTTCACAACTTCACTTGTTTCCCTCAAAAGCAAAGTTCGGGATTTCTGGCGAAATTAGCTTTTCCCGTCAAATATGCAGCAGTACGCAAGCGCAGACCATGTGCAGAAGTGGCGGGGCGATTTGACAAGGTTTAGGCGCTAGGAGCCTAGGTTGGAGCATTGGCGCCGCCCCAACCCCATTGAGCCCGCCCACCGTTCCACGTGACCTTCCAAACAACCACTTGGAACACTAGATGTTAAGCCGTTGTTTGGAAGGTCGTAGGAGATATTTAGCGGATTTGAACCGCCGGGTACCAGACAGGAGGCCCGTCGCGCGGCAAGAAGGCAGAGTCGGCGGACGAGTCGCAGCGCGTGATGTGCGATGTAGGACGTGCAATGGTACATTCTATTTAACTTGACGCGAAATCACTACAGTACGCGCTGCGACTCGTCCGCTGACTCTGCCTTCTTGCCGCGCGACGGGCCTCCTGTCGGGTAACCTGAACTGCCGAGTTCAACATCGGAGCCTATGATATGACCATTATCGGGAACGTGGTCACTCACTGCAGTTGGAACCAAAGTTCTAGGATAAGAAGCAAACAAAAATAGGGAAATCAAAAACAGTCATTTTCATTGCTGACTTTTTATGGCCGTGTCGGTTGTTGGCATAAGCCAGCAGTTGCTGTGAACACGTTCAGACACGTAATTCTCCCAGCCCTGGCTTGTAAGCGACTAACGAAGAGGAATTTCTAATTTTGGATTTCTTTGGAGGTACTTCCTGCTTTTTCTTTAATTTCGATTCACTTAGCACCCATGAACAGGGGATTCCCTCATTTCATCTCGGATCTTGCCTCTGAAGAATTGCTTCGGAAGTTTCGTCTCCCATTTCGCTTGACTGATCTGTCACGGTGGGGAACCGGAAGGGGCACTTGGCAATCCCCGCAAGTTATACGGTGGAACTTGTGATAACTCCCTTTCAAAAACGAGAAGAGCGTCGGGTGCAGACCATACACCACAAGTGACGACGGCCTCCACAAAATGTAAATGTTTTCTGCCAATGAAATGATTAGCCTGTTGCAGTTGTATTCTATCAGTTGTCACTAATTACAACTATCATTTACCAAAATCAGCTATCACTATGAATCCACTACTAGCCACTTAGTGAACGTCGTCAGCTTGTAGTGTATGATCTGTGCAGCTGAAACTCTCTGGTTTGGAAAGGGGAAGTATTAGGGAAGGTGTCATATGAAACTGTTCATATTTACGCTTTCACACATTTGCACGTGTTTCGCTCTGCCAACGCCAAAGTTGTGACATTTACAGGGAATTTAAGATTTCTCTATAGCTTCTGGTAACTTGGATTCACATCAAATCGACCGCTTATCCAGTTTTTTATGCTATCCTTGGTGCGCAAAGGGCTAGTACAATTTGTATGAGGATGAGTCAGGCGCTTTTTAGTGGTCATTCCTATAATCTCAAAACTTCCTCAAAGTTTATCTCCTCTCATAATTTTTTTCTTCACTTTACACTCTGAGCGATGTCCACCTCATGTAGCTGGTGCTTATTTGCCCAAGTCACATCGTTGCGGTCTCCTTTCCACCCACGCAATTCCGTATTCCGTGGCTTTGTTTCACATGATATCCGTAGCATTCATACAGTGGTGCAGAGTAGTGGATCAGCGGACTAAAAAAAGCGTCCAGTGCTGCGGATAGCCGCGATGATGGAACGAATGATTGTGAATGAGTTGGCTCTTTTATGGACGTTGCTCGTTAAATACGCCCCGGCCTCAAACGACTGTCAGCTGCACAAAGTAGTGGATGCAGTCGGCTTCAATAACAATCCTCTCCTCTTCTTCGACGTTCATTCTCTCCATCAAATTCATCGTTTTTGAGTTCCACCTCTTCTCTCTGCTGTCACCACGAATCTATCACAGATTTTCTATTTCCATAGTGATCCTCTGAACGTTGAATTAGGTCTGACAGTGTCGCGTTTGACGCTTATCTATCTATCAATCGATGACTGGAGCTGGGAAGAGAGGTTTTTGTTGATGTCGTACGAGAGAGATGGGGGCGAAATGCTGTACAGCGACACCGTTGCTCCACAAGAGGTCAGTCTTCATGGCTTTTTCTTCGATACGTGATGCTGTCGTGACGACGCCGAGCATGCCCGGCTCAGTCACCCAGCGAGCGCTCCTTTGTTTGCAACAGATAGCGCCGTTGACGCATCCCCTCGCGTCATCCCTGATCCTCTAGCGTAATCGAAAAGTCCAAATGTCACCGTCGCAAATGGTGATATTTGAACAGTCGCCGAATGTGGTTTCGAAATTCGTAGAATTATTTCAACTGTAGCAAAGGAATATTTTGGGAGAAACTCAAAGGGATATTAAGATATTTAGATATTTTTTTAGGATACTTCCTAAGCTTCTCGAGGAAATATCTTACAGAATATTACTCAAGAAATTTTTCGACCTTTTAAAAAAGATTATTTGTCAATTGTTTTGTTTTTCTAACACCGCAGTGTCGTTGTTGCGAAACGAAAATGCTGGCTCTCATTTTGACAAAAATTTTTCACCCCAGGCGGTGGGACTCAGAACCCCACTTCTCGCTTACGGCAGGGTGGCCAACAAGTGTGCTCTTCTCATTTCACATTTGTCATGGGTGAAATTTAGGGGGATCGCTTCGTAATAACTTGGGCTATCCCTTCCACTTGGTCTGCTGCAGTGCTAACCAGGAAGGTCTTTCAGGGCGTGACAAGCTTTTTGAAAACGGTCTTTTGCATGATATAGGGGCAGATGCGGGAACCACAGAACCATGTTCAATTTTTCCTGAACGGCCCTCTGAATACCAGAAAAGGAGGTCCCTAGTTCGATTCCTCGTGGTAACAAATTTTTGCAGTTGACGTGCCAAAATTCGCGCAAAATGGAGTTAGAACCAACCAGAACAATCAGAACTCCATTTTGCGCGAATTTTGGAACGTCAACTCGAAATGCAAAAATTTGTCACCAAGAGGAATCGAACTAGGGACCCCCTTTTTTCTGGTATTCAGAGGGCCGTTCAGGAAAAATTAAACATGGTTCTGTGGTCCCGCATCTGCCCCTATATCATGCAAAAGACCGTTTTCAAAAAGCTCGTCACGCCCTGAAAGACCTTCCTGGTAGGTCAATCAAAGGTGCTTGAAATGCCAGACGTTTGCTAAAGTTATACGAGAAACTTTGGTTTTTTGCAAGAATACTTTGTTATGAATAAACTTCCGCCTCAGGCGGGACTCGAACCCGCGTCCTTGCTTACCGGGCAGCTGCGCTACAAGTTACGCTACCGGGGCATTGTCGCCGCGGCCAAGAAGGCAGAGTCGCGGACGTGTCGCAGCGCATGAGCGATGTAAGTCGTACAGTGGAACATTCTATTTAACTTGACGCGAAATCCCTACAGTACGCGCGGAACTCGTCCCTTGACTCGCCTTCTTGTCGCGCGACGGGCCTCCTGTGGACCCGAAATCTCCCAAACCTCAGTATACTTCAGTCTCGAGCAATTGGTAATAGCGCCGTCAGTGATGACGAAACATTGACTTGTAAATTGTCACGTTGTCCCCGAGCGGTTGTATTGACCAAAACCTTTTCAAATATCACTATGATCTCAATCCGAGGTAGAGTACATGGCGCAATCCAATAGATAGATCAACGCTGAATGGCTCGGTTTTACAGTTGGACAAGGCGCAACTTTTAATGTGTGTTAATGTTGAGTACAACACATGTTCACTCTGCCTAACCATAAGTCCTCCTAAAACAATAATATTTTCATAATGCGAACTTGCCAATTCTTGTTTTGGCGGCAAAAAATTTCTGTTCAAAAAAACTGTGGGTTGATTCGCAGCTAGAAATGGCTTTCACCCTTTTGATGGGAAATAGTTCGTAGTTGAGCCAATTTAAGGACATCTTTTTCTCTTTTTAATGTATATTTTTCTATACACATATGTTATTGTTTCATTCTATACCCATATTTACAGATAGGGTCAACCGTCACGTTGGAAAAATTTCAAAAATTTTACGACCCCCCCTTTCTGGAGGGGCCTCGATAAGCCGTCCCCCCGCTGCTGATACTATAGTATTTGATTCTGAGAGACCAATTGACACATCCCAACTCTACACACATATCCTCCAAATTTTTTTTCCACAGGGGGCGCGGGCCAAAAAAAAAATTTTTTCCAACTAGCAAATTTTTTTCTTAGCAAACTCACAAAGCGTAAAGCGTCACACTACGACCTCCGTTGGTGTAGGATTGACGCTGCCTCCGACCTTGCGAATACGACCCCCCCCTTTTTCGTCGACCGAATACGACCCCCCTCGTTGGACTTTGTCCAACGGACGGTTGACCCTGTTTAGAAAGCGATCCTTATAACAGCGAGATAACATGAGTATTTATCACAAAAAATCCAGGGTTCATGGGTAAAACGCATCGCCCGGCGTGGGGAATTGAACCGGCAGCCAGCCATGGTGTGGTGTGGTAGAGATGGTTTTCAGTGAAATTACCGTGTTTTATTTCAGGAGAGATGCTGAAAATTACACAAGACGAAGTGCTTCACAAGAACTCGAACAGCTGATCCGAAATCAACAGATTTTCGAGAGAGACGCTATGAAGTGCCGTTGGTGTCAGAAGACCAACACAGAAGCCGATCCGAATGGGACTGCCACGGGTTGGTTTGCTAGATTGACTGATTGAACTGTTTTGGGTTTTTTGAGTCATCATGGGAATGCTGGGTTATGGGCAAAATCTTCATCCCAAGTGGGAATCGAACGACCGTTGCTTATCTTTTGGTCTTTTGACCGCCCAAGTTTAACTTAACTTCTAATGCAACACAAAACACCTAGCTAGCGGCTAGCAGCTTTCTCGCTTCACAACCAGGTAAGGTAAGAGCTACCCAATTGCAGGCCGTCAAAGGAGCATGGGAGTATCGAACGCCGTCGTGTCGAATATCGCTACCGTTCGGAAACTCGAGTGGACTCTGAAGAAGTGGAGAAGCGTGAACAGCTCGAGCAATGGCTCCTGCAGCAACCGATCTCGACACGGAAACTCGACCAAAGCGACCGGCAGGTTGCCATGCTTGCAGGTACCAGGTCTACTTGTTGTGCATTCCCACGACTGGGAGGACACCTTTTGCTTCCACTTTTCGTTATCTGCTGACCACCAGTGACTATTGGAAGCAACTGAGTGTGTTTCTTACGGTAGGCAGGGTAGGACTGGTTTTGTACAGCAAGGATTGGCAGGTTCTGAATTGCTTTGTTTTTAACTGCTGTTTTAACAACAATAATGATGAGAGGAAACGGCGGTCAAAATTGTGCGAGAATTCTCAAATCACTTCTCAGAATACTTGGCCTCTAGGCTGGAGGCGAATTTTCCGGGGGCCCCTCCGGTTTTTTTTTGCCCCTTTTTTTTAAACGGGGCACACCAAGCTGCAGCTTACGATGGAATATGTTAAAATTATAAGGATATACGGGTTGGGCGAAACAGTACTCGAGAGTAAGAGGTGAGTCTAACAGTATAGTTTTGTGGAAAAGTGAACAAAGATCAAGTTATACAAAAAGACGAAAAGACGAATCCGCGTCCAAACAAAACTATAGGAGGTACTGTAGTTAGAGAATGTTGTGTGTTTATTGCTGATGAAAGGGTTCTACGTCTTATGGTTTCAAAATTCACTCATTTAGTGAGAGCAAGAGTTAGCAACTGTCGTCATTGGAGCTTCCATATCTAACATACTGCCTCTTCACGATGCCTTTCATGATTCTAGCCCTTATAAAGAGCGCCACAGGTGGCCTAGGGTAAATGGGCTGCAGTTTTCATTGCTTCACCAGTCAATGGCTTTATGGATTCATTTCGTCATTATACAATTTCATAATCTCTGGTGAATAACCAGGTGCTGACGATGAACTTTTTTAGCTACAGGTGTGAAAGATGATTCGAGAAATGCTTTCATTACCAGTTATGAGATCAAAACTAACACATAGGGTCTGATTCGTATTGTACGGCTTATTTCGGTTGAGGAGGGGGGTGGCTGGACAACAAGTGGTGTCGAGTCAATGTACTGGGCTTGGGGCTGCGGCTATGCCTTAGGAAGGGGAAGCGGATTCTGAAGAAGGTATGTGCAGCAGTCTGTATTCCTTGGGGTCGTCTACCCATGCTTCTAGGCTCAGTCCTAGTGTCACACAGTAAGCTGCTGTTTTTAATGCCCGCTAAGGAATGGCACCAAATTTATTCTCGGGATAGAGGTGAAGAATAAACAGGCTTACCTTCCGCTTGGAGTCAGAAGGCCGTCGGTGGATCACAACAGCCTCGGAGCGGAACAACACACACAACATTGCCAAAAATCGAATCCCCTTTGCCATCTGCGAGACCCTACTTTTATAGCATATTTCATCGTAATACCCTACGAATACCCTCTATTTATAATCGTTGACTGGATTAAGAGGCGCACCCAGGCGGTAGCCCGAGCGAAGAGAATTTCGCTCGCTTCTGTAGGATTAGGACCCCAAGAGCACAACACAGAGGTAGGTATTTCCGTGCAGCTGCGTGCCAGAGAAGGGCGCTAGGGCCATTGCCGAACGTTAATTTTCATGGGGTTTTACCTTATTGGAGGCACTGAAATCCTGCTTCTACATTCTTACTTATGAGATATGGAAACAAAATAGAGAAGAAATTGCCCATTACTCTCTTTATCGAAATGTAATTATTGTACACTTAGTGTTCAACAGCTAGCATCTAGAGGGCCTGGTTTGGCTTCACAAACTGCTAAGGCTAGCCTACTTCGGACCCTAGTAAAGTGGACACAAGCGATATGAAGCGATCTCTCCAAGTCTGCTATGCTATATTTTTGTAGAGGAGGGATAACCTAAATAGACCAGGGTTAATCAAAGGGAGTACCGCCACCAAAGGTACACAGTGCACTCGATGCTCAATCACTGCGACGATGTGATTCGACGAGGGGGTGAACAAGAAGGACAAACAGCACTAAGCCTGAAGTGTCTGTCCTAGGCCATCCCGGCTACACCATATGAGCACATTGTCCCGTTCCTGCCAACGAATCCATCACTTCCACAGCTCTTCAGCTAATTTGTTCCTTACTTTACTTCGTTTTACCTTCATGTGTAAGAATACCGAACTATAACTATTACTATTACTCTGTTTCCTCGGTTTTCTCGGGTTCCAGACCATTTTTTCCGATCCTTCGTATATCACGGACTTTCTAACTTAATTACCAATAGGCTGCTTTTTCATCGTGAAATCCGCCTTTAAAATTTTCCACAAAGTCTTTGGCTACCTTCCCAATTTTTTACAAGTTGGTCTTCTTCTTCACAACGGCTACCGTTTAACGCTATATGCACCAGGATTGTCGGCGACATATTCTTTTTTATCAGGCTGTTTGTGGAAACTGTTCCTTAGAATGCCCTGAGCGACTGATTGTGAGGCAATGATGCGTTCCTCTTGGTTATAGGACACCATCTCTTTCATATTGACCGAAAGCGTCAGAAGCAGATGGAGCCTGTTGGGGAGTCGAGCCTGCTGAATGCATCAGGCGGGTGAGACCTGCCATCCTATACTTTGGGAAATTTCCTGGACCTCCCTCGTAATAGGTGGACGAGCGTTTCTGAGAGGAATAGATTTTGTTTCCACCTTCCGCGTGTATCTTCGGCGACGCTATCCATTAACCAGTATTATTTATTAGTCAGCAGTAGCAGTAGTGTTCGATGGCAACGGCTCCTCATTATTTAACTTTTAGTCTTACCAGCACTTCTCAGTGCCTTCTTGGTCACTGTTCTGATTTCGACGTTGAAGTCCTAGCCTTCCACAGCACATGCACATGCGCTCCACTACAGGGGGGGGAGGGGGCAATAAAAAGAAGACATTTTGTCTCCACTTTCAGATGGATTTAAGCACACTTTGCTCAATTGAGACCGAGTGTTCCCAACTTAATATTGAAGAGCACATTTCATTCTATAAGAAAATCTTCATGTTGGCCACCCACGTGGACGGCAACAGAAGAATTTGCCCTGGAAACATGGTGCACTGGTCGAGCTCAATGGGGTCTTCGAAGGATCGTGTACCATAACGACCCTTACTGGAAAGCTAGTTCCGAGGGGATTTGCACAGTGGTAGCTAATGCCTCTAGAAAACTATCCAACATTAAATCGATTCACGAAATTGCGTAAGAGCTTCAGGCTGAAGCTCTTACGGTAGACCTCCTTGAGCCTGACGACGGTGACAGATGACGTCATATTCTGAAGACGGTGAGGGCAGTGAAGGAGGGCCTGCGTTCACTTATAGAGGGACACTTAGGGAATACTCTGCTGAGGAACTCCCGTCAACGACAGCAATCTCTGCGAAGAAAAAAGAGCCGAAGTCCGACATAGGCAAAATGTCTTTTTTTTTTTTTGGCCCCCCCCCCTGTATATGATTTGCCCTTCTTGCCACATAACTAGGTATATGATCGAGCTCCACTTGTTTCTAGAGAGCAAAGTTGGTGTATGTGTGTCGTACGTCCATCACCCATTTCTTCTGAATGAATGAACATAAAGGGTTGCTTTTTTTCTAGCAGAGTGAGAGAGACCATTGCAGCGCCAATCCAGTTTTCTTATAGGATCTACTATGCGTGGACTAATTTTCTCGATTCAATGAGTTCATAAGCTAACTTCAGATCGCAGTTGTGGTCAATAGAGAGAGCTGGTTTGTTTGCGATTGAGCGACTTCACATTCATGTAGCATGGGGACAGAATGTGCTTACTAGGGACCTGGAATACTTTGTGCCAGGTAGAAGTAATCAAGCAGTCCAATTGTTAGGGAGAGTTTTGGGAAAATTGACATGTCAGATTCAACATGAGATCATAGATCACCCGGGTATCAATATCAATTGTACGCTTCACTTGTCCGAAGGGAAGATAGAATAGCTGTCGAAGTTATTCGCGAAGCACCTTTTCGTGCATTGTTTCTTCTCGTCCAAGGGAGGATTTCGATAACGAGGATAAGGCCGAAAATGAGGGAAACTTACCTAGTGGAGAGAGAGGGGGTACTTCTCCAGATGCGGAGCGACACGCAATTCGCATTGAAGAATGCCCCGGCAACCTAGCATAGCCCCGCGGCGCTATCGGCGTGCCACGCCCATCGACTGGCTAGCCAATCGCCGCAGGTGTCTAGCCTTTAGGCAGAGAGAGCCTTCGCATTGAAGAGAGCAGCACCGATGAGAGTCGCATCAATGCGCAAATCAAACGGACAAGGAAGGGATCCTGTCTCTCGAGTTCCTGGCCCTTTTTGTTGGTTTACCTTTTTTCGTGGGCCACTGACCGTCTTCCAATTCTTCAATCGTAACTTATCTTCCAATGAGCTGCCTTTTTATCGTGAACATCGCCTTGCTAGGCGACATTTTCTGTAAGCAGCTCTCCACGATACAGCAGATTACGTGGTTTGAAACCACACGGCCGGTTACAGGACGGCTAACCTGGTGGGCGGGTGAAATCAGCCCGGTCTGGCTGTGCGCATCTGCGGATCACGACGGTAAGGATCATGTTGTTTTGTGTATTAGAAGTCACGGCAATTAGTGCCTGCCAAAATATTCTTGTAAGCCTTTGGCTGTATAAGTTCAAACAAACAACGCAAGCGCGTCTGGCTGAGCCGACTGTCTGACAGGAATTTATCCCAGAATTGGCCACTATCATTATTTTCCATCCTCCCTTGCTAACATCTCGTCGGTGGACGCTGTGAAGTGTCACTTGACAACGCAAAACAACGTCGTCAATTGTAACAAACAACGTCTCGACAGTACTAATAATAATACACAGAAAACTAATGAAACGGTAAACAGTGCCGAACGCGATTTTTCAAAGACCGTCTATGATCCATATAAGGAAACTAGAAGACAATGGAGAAGAATCTGTGGACATATCACCACTGAATCCACACCGTCGTATGGGAAATGTACCGGTAAGCCAGCACCGCATTCAGTATGCAGAACTGAAGGAACTGCGAAGGATCATCCCGAAACCAGCTCAGCGCAATCAAGAGGAAACTGTAGTACCCTCTGCTTCCGAAAACCAGATACGCCTCGGGTGCAGACCACACACAACAAGTGACGACGGGCCTCCGAGTAAATCTGTCCGCTACTGGTTCATGGTAATAGCTGTATAGCGGTAATGGTAAGTTGTATTTAGTACTTGACAGAATATAACCTGCGATCGTCTGGTTCATTATCATTAGCCAGACAACATCGTACATTTTTGGGGAGACGCGTTCGGGTCACTTGTGGATGTGTTGGTCCTTTCACCCGAGACGTTCTGCGTCTCGGAAGCAGAGTGGTATTCTTCACGGCTCTACGCTGCAGTCTCCTTATTCGGTTTTTGTTGTCGCGGTTGGTTCGCTATTCTGCCAAAGTGCCGAATGACGAATATGAGGAATCCGACGAGGGGAGCCAATTACCAATGAATACTGAAACCGGCACTTAAATGCGGGACGTATTCAACGGTTCAAATGTTGCATTCTTCTGTGGCCATCATCGGACCAACGCCAGTTGAGCGTCATCCACTTGCAACGACAGTTGAGCCTCCACCGATTGGCCAGCGAATAAAAAATTTTTAGTCACAGTTGTCTCATCGCTTAGTTCTTCCCTTCCAAACGTTCGTCCTCACCAAAAAACTTCCATCGTGTTTGGTTTCTCGTTCACGTTGTCTCCAATGCCAAACTCTGGTCAGGTCTTGATGCCAGCACTTTTCTCAGGGGAGGCGGTCATATGGCGCGATCCCATTGGCATTAGAGCGCACAGTATCCAGGACAACTCGTCCGTATCACACAGCTGCTTGACTTCAGCAATTGATCGATGTGATAATTTGGGCCCTCAAAAATCGCTGAGTCCCAAAGATCTAAAAAAGAGTGGGTAGCTTCGTTGGCCTGATGCCAAGGCAAGATGA